ACGTAGGCCTAGTTTGTGATATTGTGCGCATTGGGTTCGACTGAACTGGGGCAACGAAGGCAAAGTTTCAAAACCTAAACTGAGTTGTCGGCTCTGTAGAAACACTACTCCACCTATCAGCAAGATTTCCTTGTCTTTGTTTGTTTGATTAATCTCTTTAATCTGGGACTGAATGAAGTTTAAAGTCTCCACCTGTCAGATAGAGGTAGTAGTATGACACTATCCTGTTCTTTTTTTAGGGATCAGGCTGCTTGATTAAATCTGTGTTTATATCATGAGAACCTGAGAGCTGTGGTATTCATAGGGGGCTTTATGGTGCAATTGTAAATGGGGAAAACCCTATCATACAAGTTTTTTTCCTGCAGGTCCCTGCAAATGCCTGGAGGTCCATTTGTGCATTTATTTATCCTGCCTTGTTTCCTTTTAGGATTATAATTATGCACATTTCTGTGTGTTGACCTTTAATTTTAGCTGATAATTTTCCTGTTGGTCAGCATTCCATATCATACTTACCTTTTGAAAGTCAAAGTGACATGAAGTTGTGTTTGGTTCCAAATTCTTATCCTCAGTTGCCTTTATCGTAAATTGCTCATTTGATTGTCTTTCTTTGAAGATGATGGCATTTAATCAATCCAATAACCGATTTAGTCACATTTAACTGATGATGAGACTGACATAACTCTTGGTATGAATTCATATCTTATCCACTTTCATGTAACTAACCCTCTTTATTATCTCCTTTTAGGCCGCTGCTGGCATTCTGTGCTATGTTGGAGCCTACGTGTTCATCACGTATGATGACTATGACCATTTCTTTGAGGATGTGTACACCCTGATCCCAGCCGTTGTCATTATCGCAGTCGGAGCGCTGTTGTTCATTATTGGACTCATTGGATGCTGCGCCACTATTCGAGAGAGCCGCTGCGGTCTTGCCACGGTTAGTAAACTGTTATGTTTCCAGCACTGCCTTATAGTGTTTCCCTTAAGTTAATACTTTTATTCAGCAAGGATGCATTAAAATTCATCAAAAGTGACAGTAAAGACATTAATAATGTTACAAAAGATTTTAAATGGAAAAAAGTGTCATAGTTTCCACAAGAATATTAAGCAGCACAACTGTTTTCAACATTGATAATAAACAAGTTAAGGCGATAAATAAATGGAAATGGATAGTTTATGATTGTTTATATATCTTGCTCTACTGAAACCAAATTTTCTTGCATCTCTCTTGTACAGTTTGTCATCATTCTTATGCTGGTATTTGTGACTGAGGTGGTTGTGGTGGTTCTTGGCTATATTTACAGAGCAAAGGTGAGTTCTGCATTGAAATGAAGTCAATATTTGTAGAAATAGGAGTGCCTGCATCTCTTTTGTTTTTATATGAAAGCTCTTCACACTTTGTGAGCCCTTTCAGTTGTGTGCAAAGGTGAACAAGGCAATGTAATACCTGCCTCGTATTGTACTGTGCTATTGTATAGCAATGCTGTCTCCTCCTATATAAAGAATGGATTTAGTGAAAGGTGGATGTCAGGGACAGAAATTAATGGGGGCCAAAATTAATAAAATTGCCCCTCAAAATTCAAAATATTGACCAAAAGTGTCCCTTTATGAGTTATATTATTATATAGTTAAACAGTATTACACAAGCAGGAGTGCTTTTTAAAAAAATATTTTTTATATCAGCACAATTGCAAATATGATATTGATTTTATTATTAAAAGTTAATATTAAGTGAATTACATTTTATTAGACACACATCATTGTCTCTTTTTGCTATATTTCATGAACGAAAATAGTTCCAAAGTAAGCTACAGCAAAACCGTTGCAGCAAACGGTGTTTTGTTCCTGAATGAATCCACATTTTAAAGAAATCAGTTGAGGGAACAATTCAATGACCCATTCATAAAGTGCAGAATTCTTGCTTCCTTCCTGAATGAATGAGCT